GCATTTGCCGGTAAATGGATGGAGCTGGAGACTATCATGCTAAAAACAAAGAAAGCCAATCCCAAGGAACCAAAGACCTAATGTTTTCTCTGGTGTGTGGATGCTAATTCACAATAGGGGAGAGGCTAGGGAAGAATAGAGGTATTTTGGATTAGGCAGAGGGGAGTGAAGGGACGGGAAGAGGGAGTGGGGTTGGAAGGATAGTAGAATGAGTCAGACGGTATTACCCTCTGTGCACATAAGACTACACAACCTGTGTGATTCTACATCATGTACAGCCAGAAGAATGAGAAGTTATACTGCATTTGTGTGTGATATGTCAAAGTGCATTCTACTGTCCTGTATAACTAATTAGAACAAATAAAAATCAAAACAGAAAAAAGATGGCAATAATCCCTCCATTGATCTACAGAGTCAACACAATCCCTACCAAAATCCCAGAGAGTTATCTTATATAAATAAATAAGCTGATCCTGAAAATCCTATGGAAATGCTAGGGGCCTAGAATAGTAAAACAATCTTATAAAAAGAATAAAGTTGAAAGAGTCACACCACCAGATTTCAAAACAGTTTCAACATAGTATGTTACATGGCATAAGGAGAGACAGGCAGATCAATGCAACCGAGTTGGGAGTCCAGGAAATGAACCATCGCATTTATGGTTGGCTTGTATTTTACAAGGGTACTAAGATAATTCAGTGGGGAAAGAATGTCTTTTCAATAAATAGTACTGTGTCAAATGAATTTGGACCCTTTCCTTTTTTTTTAAATATACTAGGGATTGAACACAGGGGCACCTAATCACCCTGGCCCTTTTTATTTTTTATTTTGAGGAGGGTCTCACTAAGTTGCTTAGGGCCTCACAAAGTTGCTAAGGCTGGCTTTGAACTCACGATCCTCCTGCCTCAGACTCCCGAGCCTCTGGGATTACAGGCGTGCACCCCTGTGCCTGGGATCCTGGGATAACCCCTTTCTTTATACTATGCACAAGAAATGACTCAAATTGAACTACAGATCTTAATGTAAAACTATAAAACTCCTGTAAGAGAACATAGGAGTAAATCTCGGTGACCTGGGGTTATGTGATTGTTTCTTAGATACAACACCAAAACCATAAGCAACAAAAGAAATACACTGGACATCATCAAAAATCATATATGTGATAACCCTCTTGGTCCCCTGCAGGGTGGGTGTGCTGCTGGCTCCTGACGCAGCGTGGGCAGGGGCTGGGAATCGGTTAAACTGGAACCTCCCCCGCCCACCCTCTACCATCTGACAAGGAACGGGTATCCAGAATATGTAAAGAACTCTTACAACTCAATAATAAAAAGACAAACACTCAATTAAAAAATTGGCAGAGGGCTTGAGTAGGCATTTCTCCAAAGAAAACAATCAAATGGCTAATAAGCACATAAAAAGATGTTCAGCATCATTAGTCATCAGGGAAATGCAAATCAAAGCCACAATGAGATACAGCTTCATCCCTCACTAAGAAGGCTGTAAACAAAAGGCATGACACGTATTGTCCTGGATATGGTGAACGTGGAACCCTCATCCGTTGCTGAAAAGAACATCAATTCCTTGCAGCCACCTTGCAAGATAGTTGGCTAATTCCTCAAAATGTCAAACGCAGTAACCACACGACCCAGCAGTCTCAGTCCTCGGTGTATATCTAAGAGACAGGGAAATACACGTCCACACTAAAACTCACACGTGGATGTTCATAGCAGGACTGATGATAACCCCGAAGTGGAACTAACCCAGAGGTCCTTAAATGGATGAAGAGATAAACAGAAATGTGTCCTGTTTATACAATAGAGTGTTATTTGGCAATAATAGAAATAAAGAACTGATATACACTACACCATGGTGAACCCCGAAAACATCATACTAAATGAAAGAAGCCAGTCCCAAAGGCTGCATGTGTTAGGAATCCATTTATCTATCTATCATCTATTTATTTACTTATTTTTGGATACCGAGGATTGAGCTCCTTGGCTCACTGAGCCAAATCCTTGGCCCCCTTTTACATTTTATTTAGAGACAGGGTCTCACTAAACTGCTTAGAGCCTCTCTAAGTGGCTGAGGCTGACTTTGAACTCTCAATCCTCCTGTCTCAGCCTCCCCAAACGCTGGGATTACAGGTGTGCGCCACTGCGCCTGGCTTAGGAATCCATTTATATGAAATGTTTAGAAAAGGCAAATCTATGGAGATGGAAAGATGGGTGGTGGCGAGAGCTGGGGGGAGAGTGTGCGTGGGGAGTAGCAGTTGGTGGGCGTGGGGTTTCCTTTGGGGGAGGGGAAATGTCCTAAAATTATCTCATAGCTGTAGTTCCACAACTCTGTGACCACCCTGAAACCACTGAATACTTTAAATGAGTAAATTATATGGTGGATGAATTATAAATTTGGGAGAGCTGTTTTTTTTTTTTTAAAGGTCCTGGACAGTTGGGCAGGCTGTGGGCATACCTGGCTCTCATTTTTCTCTGGTGATGGGCTGACTGCAGTTCTCAGAGAACCTGAGGGGCCTGCCAGCCCGAGAGCAGGTCCAGGGGGCCCTAAAAGACAGAACTTTGAACCCCTAAAACTCTCCCTCAGAACTCAGCGCAGTGGAGAATTGACCCGACCAGAACAGTCTCACATTTTTCCTTTAAAATTCTCCTGCTGCCAGGCACGTGGTGGTCACCTGTAGTCCCAGCGACTCGGGAGGCTGAGGCAGGAGGATTGCAAATTCAAGGTCAGCCTCAGCAACTTAGCAAGGTCCTAAGCAACTTAGTGAGACCCTGTCTCAAAATAAAAATTAAAAAAAAGGGTTGGGGGTGTGGTTCAGTGGTTAAGCACTCCTGGATTCTATCCCAGGTACAGAATAAATGAAATAAAATAAAATAAAACTCTGTGTGCATCCTGCTCTGTAATTGCATGCTTGTTTTTGTAATTCCATGTGTATTTCCATGCTTGTTTTAATTTCAAATATATTGTAAATTTTTGGAGTCCAGTGTGGTGGTTCACACCCGTAATCAATCCCAGTGACTCGAGAGGCTGAGGCAGAAGGATCACAAGTTCACGGCCAACTTAGACCTTCCACAACTTAGTGAGATCCTGTCTCAAAAAATAAAAAGGACAGGGAATATAGCCCAGTGGTAAAGTGCCCCTGAGTTCAATCCTCAGCCAAAAACAAATGGTAAATTGTCATTAGGTGAAACGGATGCTGTTCATTCTTATGAGCTGGTCTGCCTCTGTGTCTACACTGCTGGATTTCCTGGGGTGCAGCAGCCAAAGGACACCTCCTTGGAACCCATGGTGTGCTTGGTGTGGAGGGAGGAGGCACATACCCACTCAGTCGTGAGAAGCAAAAATACTATTTGGGCACACGATTGGGGGTGAGGCAGAAACTCAAGAATATAACCTCAACCAGGCATGGTGGCATGCACCGGTAATCCCAGCAACTCAGGAGGCTGAGGCAGGAGGATTGCAAGTTTGAGGCCAGTCTCTGCAAACTAACAAGGCCCTGTCTCAAAACTAAAAATAAAAAATCCAGGTGGTGAGTGGTATAGCATATATGTGTGTGTGTGTGTGTGTGTGTGTGTGTTATATTGAACCTGGGGCCTTGCACATGCTAGGCAAGAGCCCAACCAATAAGTTACATACTCAGCCACATAGTAATATTTTTGCTAGCAAACAGTTGGAAACTATCTAGATGTCCACACATTTTGACATTGACTAATCAATTACTGTACAGTGGGATATAATTTAGCTATTTAATGAAAATAGGGATAAAGTCAAAGGTTTCTGATAATATTTCAGGTAAAAAACAAAAGGCAGCCCACCAAATTATATATAGCGTGGTCTCAACAAGTCAAACAGCCAGAAAAATATAGTGGCATGAAATATACTGAATGCTCACCTTAGCTCTCTGGATGGTGGAAACGTGGCCTCTCCTTCCTCCTTTGCTCCTTCTTTCCCTCCCCTTCCTTCCTCTCCCCTCTTCTCTCTCCTTCATCCCCCAATTTTGCCTCCATCCCAGATTTTCTGCAGTCATCTTGGGTCACATTTATTATTAGTGAATCCAGTTCTTGCAGGTGGAGGAGGGGCATAGCGAGGGATGGAGATGCAGTCATGGGGGAAGAGGTGGGTGCTGGGGGAGACCGAGAGGGAGGGAAAGAGGGCTGAAGAGAGAGGCCTAGAGGACAGGGGAGGAGACGGAGCCGGAGCCGGGCAGTGAGTAGGAGTGTTGTGCGTGAGCCTTGTTTGGACAGGCAAAGAATCAAGGTAAAGTGACTGTCATGGAAGTCAGAGAGGACAGAAGCTGAAAGAGACCTCCCTGAAAACCTTACCCCTTCCTAGGCTTGCTGCGGGGTTAGATTTAAGTGAATCTGGGAAAGAGATTAGATTTCTAGGTTTTGGAGTCAGACAAAGCTGTCAGAGAGCTGACTTGTTCAGCTGAATTACTTTGGGAAGATTTCCTAACCTCTCTGAACCTCTGTTTCCCCATCTGGTAAGTGGGAACAATAATACTTTGGTTGTTTAGATTAAACGAGGTCATACATGGAGAGTACTTTGCGCAGCTCCTGAATATACATGTACTGACATGATGGCTATTGTGTTTTTGCACAGGTGTTAACGTTATGCAGAACATCTTTGAACTCTAAAGGGATTGCCATTAATAGTTTTTGGATTTTTTCTGCATTTTTCTTCGTGCATTATCGTTGTGCGTAGTGGTGGGATTTGTGGTTACATATTCATACGTGCACACAGTATGACGGGGTAACTTGGCCAATATCGTTCCCAGTATTCCCTCTTCCCTCCCCTCCTCCCTCCCCTGGTCCTCTCCACTCTGCTGACCTCCCTTTGACTTTCATGAGACCCCCCACCTTCCCTTTCCTTGTCCTCTCTAACGTCCACACAAGCTCTTAAGACAGCTTTCTCTGGTCCTTTGGGCAGAGCTTTCTGCATCGGGGTCTCTGGATGCTCACCCTGCCCTCTTCCCCTCTCATCCCCAGCTGTCCCCTCTGCCACCATGAGGAACATCTTCAAGAGGAACCAGGCGCCCATTGTGGCTCCTGCCACCACTACTGCCCCGATGCCAGTCGGCCCTGCAGACAACTCCACGGGGAGCGGGGGTGCAGGGGAGAGCCAGGAGGACATGTTCGCCAAGCTGAAGGACAAGTTCTTCAACGAGATCAACAAGATCCCCTGTGAGTGGCCCTGGGGGCTGAGAGGGGACTGTGGGCGGGGCCTGTGGTCAGGGCAGAGCTGGCAGGCGGGGGCGCCCTGGGATGGGTTTGCTTCCTGAAACGTGGGTCTCAGCCTGGATTCTCTGCAGAACCCCTTTAGGAAGGGGAACTATGGTCTTGAACTAATGGGGTGACCAAGGAGATTAGTTTAGGTGCCTCAACTCCCAGCAAGGGGAAAATATTTTACAACTTAAAACATTATTTTAAAAGGAAAAATTTGGTAGAAATCATAGTTTTCGGTAGTATAGTAAAACCACTTCATTTTGAAATATGGAAAATAAAAGCCCTGCTGCTTTCTGAACTCTGGCCAAGGCTGTGTGCACAGGCCCAGTTTCTGGGGGGGTGGCCACACTGGTGAGACCCGGTGCTTCAGGACCACGGAGAGCAGCCCACCCCCACCGGGAACACCTGACCTTGCAAAGCCCAGGTTTCCTGGTGGCCAGAACCTTAAAGAGCCTCTGTCCCTGAGTCAGCCCTCTCCACACTAGTGGTGGGGCCAAGGGACTCTTCCTGCACACGGGTGTGATAAGGACAGTCCATCTGCTCCAGCGTGAGCTTCTCCGAGGATCAAAGTAGACACACTCCTGTTAATGGAGCCGAGCTGGTGTTCTTCTGAGCAGCACCCGACACTCTCTCCTCCACCAGAGCCGCAGGCTGGGGAAGAGCGGGCATTGCTGGACAGTTGCCCGAGCACCGCAACTCTGCAAACCACGCATGGACACGTGGCTTGGGAAAGGGACAGCGCAGGTGTTGGCGTGGGGGTCACGGGCTCTGTTTTGCCAGTGCTGCGGGGTCCGGGCCGCGAGGCCCAGCGTGCTGACCGGGGCTCTTCTCTGTGGGCAGTGCCTCCCTGGGCTCTGATCGCCATCGCCGTGGTCGCGGGCCTCCTGCTCCTCACCTGCTGCTTCTGCATCTGCAAGAAATGCTGCTGCAAGAAGAAGAAGAACAAGAAGGAGAAGGGCAAAGGCATGAAGAACGCCATGAACATGAAGGACATGAAGGGGGGCCAGGTAGGCGAGGATGGCCGGGCGTCTGCAGGCCGCCACAGGGTGGCTCCGGGGCTGCCACGGCTAAGCTGGCTCATGCTGCAGACTCCACGGGGCTCTGTGGGCTGCATCTAGGGTAACCTCATCCACCGTCTGCTAGTGGCAAGGGGAGCTTACCCAGGTGACAGCATGAGCTCATCCCTGAGAAGGAAAGGGAGAGAACCAGGCCCCCATCCCAGGCAGCCACTGGAACAGAGAAGGGCAAGAGAGACCCCTCCATCACCAGGAGGACACTGCGGGTGACCCTGTGTTTTCCCGCCAGGACAGACTGAAGGACAGCAGGTGCCTGTTTGGAGGCATCTAGCTGGGCTGGGCCGGGGTGAGGAGTTGAATGAGCTGGGAAAAAGGTCTTCAGGCACCAGGTCAGGGGCGAATGGAATCATGACTCATCAGAATAATTGTTATTTATTTTTTAGTACTAGGAATTGAACCCAGGGCCACTTTACCACTGGGTCACACCCCCCAGCTCTTTTTCTGTGTCTCCCTGAGTTGCTTAGTGCCTCACTAAGTTGCTGAGGCTGACTTTGAACTCACGATCCTCCTGCCTCAGCCTCCTGAGTCGCTGGGATTACAGGCGTGCACAGTGCATCATAATAATTTAATTTAACACTGTCTTTTGGTGTTGGTCAGCCTCAAAAGGTCCCTTAATATGCCAAAGCCTCAAATTTACAGAGGCCCCTGTGTGCATCACGGTCCCCATGTCTTCATCGGGGGTGACGGGGTGGCATCTCTCACTCAAGGAACCAGGATGGAGGTTGAAAGGATGAGGCAGCCTCAAGAATTTGACAAGAAGTCATCGTGGTCTTGAGTGCTTATGTGCACGTGTGTACACAGGCCAGAAGAAGCCTGCAGTGTGTGTGTGTGTGTCTAAGAGTGACCTGGGCCTAGTCGTCCTGAGCTCACCTTGTGGCGGTGACATCAGGGGCTGGCTTGAGCCACAGGCTTTTCTCTGACATCACTTTCTCTCCTCTCTTCCCTCCTCTGTGGACGTGCCCTGCTCCTGTTGGCCTGGGATGCCCTGCTGGTATGTCTTGCCCAGGATGGGGAGGGGGGGTCCCAGCTGGGGAAAGTGTGGGGGGATGTTCTTGTGACGGAAGTGAGTCCCCTGCCTCCAGAAGCAAGCTCTACCACATGGCAGAGCACCTGGCCACCTGGTACTGTGCTCCTGGAGGGGAGAGAGCCACCGAGCCCAGAGCCTGGCTTCCCAATGCAGGGCTGGGCTCTGCCCAGGCTGCCTGTGGGCTGGGGTGCAGCGGCGTCTACGCCACCTTCCCTCGTGGCCCCACTCAGCTCTGGCTCAGGGTCTGGCACAGAGGGGCCAGGTTCCCATCACCTGCTGGGCCAAGCTGCTCTCTTCTCTCCTTTTAACCATTTCCCCACCCTCAGGTCCCCAGGATGACGATGACAATGAGACAGGCCTGACCGAGGGGGAAGGCGAAGGGGAGGAGGAGAAGGAGCCGGAGAACCTGGGCAAACTGCAGTTTTCCTTGGACTATGATTTTCAGGCTAACCAGGTGGGTGGGGCTGGCGGGGACAGGCGAGGCGGGGCTTGGTTCTTGGGGCAGAACAGGGATAGACACAATTATTCTAGAGGTTGAGGACATTGTCCCTCTCCATGGAGTGGGCAAATTGGAAGCCACAGGGGGTGTATTCCTGGGTGTCAACCCTGGCATGGCCACCATCTGATCTGGGGAGGTTCCAGGGGGACTCTGCTATTAACCTGCCCACCAAGCTCAGGTAAAGCAACTCATCTCTCAACTTCAGGTTCTCCAAACATCATTCCAAATTTCTGGGATGGAGATGGAGACCAGTCTGCCCTCCAGCAGGGGCCTGGCCTGCTCTCCAGCTGCCCCCGCTGGGAGGGACGGGCAGGGCCAGGACTGGGGCGGGACCTGGTCTGGGGCAGCAGGCACTCAGGCCCTTCCCTCTCTCTCCACAGCTCACGGTGGGCGTTCTGCAGGCTGCTGAGCTACCTGCCCTGGACATGGGCGGCACCTCAGACCCTTACGTCAAAGTCTTCCTTCTTCCAGACAAGAAGAAGAAATATGAGACCAAAGTCCATCGGAAGACCCTGAACCCTGCCTTCAATGAGACCTTTACCTTCAAGGTGAGGAGGACAGGAGAATGGCTAAGCCCGCTCCCTGCCTCTGAGTTCTGCAGACCTTTCCCTGGTGCTTAGCCATGGCTGGGGCCCTGGGACCAGCTCAATTCAACAGTGGCAGGCCAGGTGTAGGCTACATGGAGTCCCTGTAGACCTCTGTGGAGGATGGGGCTCCCTCCTACTGTTCCCTCAGGCCCCCATCTCCTCTCTGTCTCTGAGCACTGCTGGGAGCCCCGAGGGATGGCTGGAGCAGGGGTTCAGGCACCTGCCCACAGCCTCGCCTTCTGATCCCCTTGTGCCCGACAGGTGCCATACCAGGAGCTTGGGGGCAAAACCCTGGTGATGGCCATCTACGACTTTGACCGCTTCTCCAAACATGACATCATTGGAGAGGTAAAGGTGCCCATGAACACCGTGGACCTTGGCCAGCCCATCGAGGAGTGGAGAGACCTGCAGGGCGGAGAGAAGGAGGAGGTGAGAGTGGGAGTAGGCCGGGCCCAGAGGAAGGAAATGCCACTGCTGGCCTGGGCTCTCTCCCCTGGCTCGCTCAGCATGATGGGAACAGGGTGGATGGCGAGTCAGGCCTCCAGGGTCAGGGTCCAGCTCCACATGCCTGGCTGTTGACTCTGGGCAAGTTGCTGAGACTCTCTGGGTGTGGACTCTCTCCTTTAGACTCCAAGGTGAAGATCAACTATCCGTGTAAAGCGCCTGGTATTGTCCACCCAAATAAGGAAGTCATTATTACTGTTTCTCCTAGATTCTGCTGTCACTTAGGGCCAGGGACCATTGACTGCCTCAGTTTACCCACCAGGAAGGTTCATATTTACTCTAAAGTTTTCTCAGCACGGAAGCTTGTCCTTCAAACAACTGCTAGGACACTTCCTTCAGTCACCACATATTCACTAAGCATTGACCGGGTGCCCAAACCCCCATTTTAGCAGAGACCTTAGGAATCAGGAACCCCAGTCCTCATCCGGGCCTCAATGCCAGAGTGCTGTGTGACTCTGAGGAAACCATCTCCCTCTGAGAATCTCCATTTCTCATGGGTCGCAAAGAATCCTTGCCTGTCTACACACACGGCAGTGCCAGTAACAAAAGAAGAAGAAGGAAGAGGAGGAAGAGGAGGAGAAGCAGGAGTGGGGGGAGGAGAGGAGGAGGAAGAGGGAGGAGGGGGGAGGAGGATGGGGGAGGAGGAGTGCCACAGTCTGGCTGGGCACAAATGCCGCAGTCTGGCTGAGCACACAATCACGAGCCACCACACAGCTTGTAGATTCAAACAGCAACTCTTTATTCCCGAACTCACACCGGCCGTCTACAATCACGTTCTGGGGAAATCCACGTTCTCTTCCCAAATCCACCTCCACTGGGCTTCTGTCTCTCAAAAAATACTATCTGAATCCCGTGAGAACTCAAGGGGAACTCAGGCAGCAGGATACGCCCTATTCCCAGCAGGAATAATCTTAAACCTGGAACGCCCTAAACCCGATTATCCTAAACCGGGAACACCCTAATCCGCCCTGGTCCTTGAGCAAGGTCACCTACATTCAATGTCACTGCAAAATGTCCTATTTCCACGAGTCCTTCCACTAAGCAACATGGGGTACGCTGGCAAGGAAATTGTCATACCTACTTGGCTAATGGCTCCCAGCAGAGGAGGGGGGGAGGAAGGGGGAGGAGGAGGAGGAGGAGGAGGAGGAGGAGGAGGAGGAGGAGGAAAAGTGCTTTGCATAAACATGCATAAACCACTCTGCAAGGGGAACGGTTGGCCAGGGGAGATGGCTCGGGAGGAGACTTCTGAGATATGCAGTCTTCAGTTCCCCTGAGATTGAACACTTGACCTCACATCTGCTCCTGCCCTTCCCACCTGGCTTGGGCCTGGGGAAGGGGCTGAGCACTTCCCACACCTGCCCAGGTCTGCTTGGTCCCACTGCCCCAGCTTCCACTCACCCGTCGGCCTCCTCAGGTCGCAGCTGTGAACTGCAGCAGGAGACCCTGAGATCAGACACTGAAGGGCCTTCTCAACCATCACAGCTGTGGGGACTGGGGACTTAGGGAGGTGGCAACATGGATGTGCTAGTGTTTACAAGATGGGGTCAGCCATGCTAGCGACAGTGGGATGGCTGAGGTGACCTGAGTCCCACTTCTTTCCCTGGACAGCCAGAGAAGCTGGGCGACATCTGCACCTCCCTACGCTACGTGCCCACGGCCGGGAAGCTCACTGTCTGCATCCTGGAGGCCAAGAACCTCAAGAAGATGGACGTGGGTGGCCTTTCAGGTACATGCAGAGCTTCTGGCTGCCATTGGGTGGCACCAGTGAGCCAGTCACAGCCCAGAACCCCAGGAGATTGCACACTCGGGCAAGGAGGAGGAGGTCTTTCCTGTCCTGGGTCCTGGGTGTCCCCCTTCAGAGCAGGGGAGCTCTGACCCCCTGTCTGAGGTGTCTTCCCAGTGCTCCCCGGCCATGCCCTGTGGGCTACAGAGGATCAGAGAGATTTCAATGAGTTGTGACAGGATTTTGCTTCTCCCAGGGAAGTTTAGGAAGTGGATGAGGCCTACCCAAAGTGGGCCTTTCCATCAGGCCCACTTTGTGTCCACTGGGGACACTTCCAGGAGAGGCTGTAGGCTCTGCTGGCTCTCCCCTGGCAAGGGACTCCATACATACATGGCGGATGCTGAGTTTTAGACTTACCTGGTAAGAAATGGGGCCGACACCTGAATCACCAGGTGTAGCCCCCTGTCTCTGCCGTGCTGTCCCAGAGAATCAGCCTGTGCTGGACTCAGTCACTGAGCCAGTACGTGACTTTTGGTGGGTTATTTCCCTTCTTCAGTCTTACTTTCTCATCTGCAAGTTTGGGAAGATGGGCTTGGGCAGGATCAGGACTAGGCAGAGGTGCCCCTGCCTAGCACAGTCATCACCAGCTGAGCCCCATACTCTCTCACAAGGCCTAACTTAGAAGCAGAAATTTCCTCAATGCGATGCTCCAGGAAGCCACAAGCAACCAGTCAGAACTGGTCCTTGAGGTGAAACCTACTGCCATCCTTGAGGATCCTCTGTGTCTTTTGGGTTTCCTGTTCTGTGCCTCAGGGCTTTCTGAGGGCCTGGTCTCAGCTGGGTGGAGACTCCCACCCCCATCCTCCATGGAGGCCCTGGGTACCTGGGAGGGTGGACGTGGGCTAAGGGAGCCTTTTGGGTTGGCATTCTCCCCGCCACAGACCCCTATGTGAAGATCCACCTGATGCAGAACGGCAAGAGGCTCAAGAAGAAGAAGACAACGGTGAAGAAGAAGACCCTGAACCCCTACTTTAACGAGTCCTTCAGCTTTGAGATCCCCTTTGAGCAGATCCAGGTGCGTGAGCCTGAAGGACCTTAGGCGCAGAGCTGGGCCAGGAGGCAAATGAGTATGGGCAGGTGGAGGGCAGGGGACTCACCCAGGAGTTTCCTCCAACCATGGAGGGGTGTCACTCTGGTGGGGGAATGCCACGTGGGGGCTCTTCCCCAGGGTCTCCCTTTTGGAGGAGATGAACATAAAGTAATTAAAAACATTCTACAGATGGCTCCTTTAGAATTTGGAAGGACACGGTTGTACATATGGGCCAGGGGGTGACACCAGTGAGACTGGAAGTGACTAAGTAGGAAATAGTCTCTTTCCCTTCCATCCTCCCTTGGTCATCCCTGCCCCCATGTTCCCTGCTTCCTAAGTCTGCTCCCATCTTCCCCTCTAACCTCTTCCTCCCTCCTCTTCCCCCCCCCCACTTTTCCTTTTCTTTCCCTCCCTTCCTCCTTCCCTCCCTTCTGTCCCACCAGAAAGTGCTGTACATGGTGGAGATGAGGTTTGTTTTTCTCCACTTCTGGGTGGGACTGGGATCTGGACTTGGTAAGATGGGAGACACAGACCCTTCTGGGCTGGAAGTCAGATGCAGGGGCTTGCAGGGGGGCGGTTCTCTTCAGGGGAGCTGTCCTTTCCCCTCTTCTCCCTCTTTGAAGGGCAAGAGTGCCAAGGGGCTCTTCAGAGTTGAAGTTGTCCGGTTTGAGGTGTCCATGATGTCATTTACGGAATCTTCAGGGGAATAGATGTGATCCCAAGAGGAATCTTCACAATGAAAAGCTTCAGATGTGAACTATCCTGGCTCAAGCATCTCAAATCCACAAGTCCAAAGCCAACATAATGGTCTTCTCCCTCCCTGATCCCATCCAAACCTGCTTTGCTAAATTCTGTTTTCAATGAATGACCCTACATCTTCCCAGTGGCCCATGTCAGAGGCCTGAGCTTCATCTGAGACCCCAGTCCTTTTTCTTTTCCCATTTACTCAACATATTTCCTGAGCATTTCCTAAGTGCCAGGCACTTGCTAGTGGCTGGGGAAATAAGTGTGTAGAAGACACTGACCTGGTGTCAAGGCCCTCATAGTGGGAAGGGCCCAGAAAACACCGTGGGATGGTGGCTTCAGTGTGCCTAAGATTCAGGGGAGGCTTTGCAAAGAAAGCTTTGCCCTAAGGGATGAGCCTGAGTTGGTAGGGAGGGGGGAGAAAGGCATTGACTGTCCCCTCAACAAGTCCAAATGATCACCAAGTCCTCTTGATTCTCTCCTCTAAATACCTCTCTGGTCTGGCCCTGACTTCCCATCCCCACTGTCCTGGTTCACATTCACTAATACACCCCTGCAGACCCCTAGCAGTGGGTGCTCCTGCAATCAGGTCCATTCCTCCCACCTCGGGGCCAGGTTCTCCTAACAGATCCATGCCACCCCTTCTCTTATGTCTTCAGGAGCTGCCTACTGTTTATCTGACTGATAGATAAAGTGAAAACTCCTTAGCTGACCTCACTTCCTGTCCAGCTGACCTCACTTCCTGCCCAGCTGACCTCACTTCCTGTGTCTCAATCTATACTTCAGTGAATCTGAACTTCTGTTTCTCAGTTACCAGTGCACTCTCCTGTCTCTGTTCCCTCTCTGAGGCTAATCTTCTTTTCTGGAACTCTCTTTCCTCTTTTCTGCCGTCTGTGAAGCCCTTCCTGTATTGACCCAAGCAGGACTGTCATTTCCTCTGAGTTTCCCTTGTACCTGGTGTTCCCCTCTCTAGCATAACCTTTATTACTTTGTGGGGCAATTTTTTGATTATGTGCATGTTGATGTCATTAGAAGTAAAATTCATCTTTTCCTTCTCCCATCCCCTCTGCAAGTACTGACAGTGCCTGGAGCATTTTTTGTGGTGCACAAAATGCTGTTGGTAGCAACACAGGTTGTCCCCACAGGTGTGGCCTTTGCCTCCATGTAAATTCAGTCTTATTGGGAGCCCGAGATGGAAGGCAGTAAGGAGCCCAGGGAGGCCTTTCTTCCCAATTGTTTGGAGTAAATGTTGATGGAGGGAAATTTGGACTTGGAATTCCATGTCTTCACTTTCCAACGTCCTCCCTCTTTGGCTTCCCTTGCAGAAAGTCCAGGTGGTGGTCACTGTGCTGGACTATGACAAGCTGGGCAAGAATGAAGCCATCGGCAAGATCTTTGTGGGCAGCAACGCCACGGGCACAGAGCTGCGACACTGGTCTGACATGCTGGCCAACCCCCGGAGGCCCATCGCCCAGTGGCACTCACTGAAGCCGGAGGAGGAGGTGGACGCACTTCTGGGCAAGAATAAGTAGATGGCCGAGGCTGGGACCCCGTGCCCTTGATGGACACTGACAAGATCCAGAGCTATCAATACCTCAGTTATGCGACCTTAGAGGTTTTCTTCATCGTTTGTGGTTGTGTCCTTGTTTTTCCTTCCTTTTCTCTTTTTCAAGACCAACTTTCCTTTGATGGCTGTGTGAGGAGAGTCCCCTAAGAGGTGGAAGAGAAGCCTGGCTCTGTTCGTCGTCCCAGGAGCTGCGGTCGCTGCATGCCCTGCCGGTTCCCCCTCACTCTCTCAAAGCTTTGTTCAAGCCTCACCCTGGGTGAGGCCCTCTCCTGGCGGGAAGTTGCAGCGCTTCCTGGTTTTTGTGCGTTCTGGACCAACAACATGGCAGCACATCTTGCTTTGCAACAGCCAAGGCAACACAGTAGCCAACGTGTGTGTGTGTGTGTGAGTGTGTGGGTGTCTGAGTATTTTTCTTCATTCCTGGGATGAGCCATAGACAGTGATCCTCTGTGGGAAGAGAAGGCTCTTCATGGACATGAGGAGATGAAGAAAGTCCACTGTCTGAGTGGAACATGGTCTACCAGATGGCGGAGAAGGCTCAGAATCCCAGTCAGAGGCTGGAAGCCCTCATACTCTTCTGGGTGGACATTTGGGAGGCAGCAAGATGTGGGCACTGGATGTGTCCAGAACTAGGACCAGACCCCTGATGCCGTCACAGACTTCCTCCTGTCAATCATGTTTCCCCAGAAGTGGGGTTTCTGGGACATTCATGGAAATGAACTATCCCTAGATTGGTTAGACTCTTCACAGGGACCGTCAGTCCCAGGATCTCACTCTTGCTGACAATGAACATTGAACTATGAAGCAACAGAAGTCCTGTTACCCTGAAAGACCAAGCTTAAGCTCCTGGATCTTTGCCCCAACTAGTGGGAAACACACTTTCTCCCTTTCCAGAGTCTCAGCAGCACGGTTCATGGGCCCTTGTTCTCCATGATGCTTTTGCTTCTGTTTGTCTTTGCATCTAAGTGGACCAACACTGTCTGAAGACGTGTTATCTGTACAGAGCCAGAGAACGTTAAAAGGAAGGCTTAAATGTGCTTAGTTTCCCTGAGGTCCAGGTAAGAAGGGGGTGGTTAGAAGGGAAGGATGATGGGCAGATGCTGGAGATTTTCTGAGACGGTACAGAGGGGAGCAGTGGGATTCCTTCCATTCCTATTCCTTGCTCCCTGGGCCCTCTGCTTTCCATGCTTGGCTTATGGATTGCTAGAGCGGCCCAGCGAGACGTGCGAGGAGGCCCCAGCCTTCCATTCATCAGAGAGACTTTTCTCGGTGAATGTCAAGATGTGAATGCCATTCATTTGAAATGGGTGGAGACCAACCAGTGTTTCATCAATTTTATTTTATTTTGTGGTGCTGGGGATCACACCCAGGGCCTCCTGCATGCTAGGCAAGCACTTAAGCTATATTCCCAGCCTTGTGCCAGGTTTTCTACCCCATGCCCAGTTGTGTCCCATACCTGTTCACCTTTTGTCCCTAGCATTGATAAAAAGCCATATATATGTTAGTCAGATTTGCACTGAGTTCCCTTCCAAAACTTCAGCATGGCCAAGAGAGTCAGGCCCCCATGTGGCTAGAGGCCAGCCCTCCTTGTCTCCCTTCCTCTAATCTCTCTCTTCCCTCCTTAAAGCTCTCAGGCTCTTGGTATTTCCCTACCAGAGAAAAATCACATCTTCTCCAGGAGGCTGGGGATCACTCTCTTTCCCAGTAAAAAATGGCAGAATTTTCCTTCTGCCCCATTTGAGCCACTTCAGCTTCCTGTAGGTACCTGACACAGGTAGATGGTGATGGAGTGAATCAGGCTTTGAGGCCCCAGCACAGAGAAGGTGCAGAGTATCTTTTTATTCAAAAAAGTGGGGGGAGGAAGGAATTTGGTTTTGCTTGGCTTTGTTTTTTTTTTTTGGTTGAAGCAGGGAGTGAGAGGACACTTACAGCAGAAACAGACCGGGAAGCAGGACTTGGCTTGCCTCTCTCAGAGTCCCTTCCCTTCCTACCAGTGGCCCTTGGTACATGGGAAGTTATGCATTTTATACTCCGTGTGTGTGTGTGTGTGTGTGTGTGTGTGTGTGTGTGAACAATGAGAAGGTAGCACTCTGATAAGGATTATGAGCAGTGGTCCTTGGGACCAGAGTTGTGGTCATGGTAGAAAACTGTAGGACAATAGGGTGCCTTCAGAATCAAGGTGGCCACAGAGTACCAGAGTCTTGGTGTGGACATCAGAAGTCACTGGACTCTTCTTCCCTCCCCAGAGCTGAGGCATTTTGGTGCTTTCTCAGGGTCCTTCCTCACTTACGTCCCCGCGAACCTCATTCATGGAAACCCCCTGTCAATCTCACCCCCTTGACCTTCCTTCTTCTGCCTTCTCCCAATCCACTTCCTACCACCTGGGATTCTTCTCTGCCCATGAGCTTCATTTAACCCTTCTAGCGCCTAAGATCTACCACTTCCCAAACAGAGAAGGAAAGGAAACCTCTGGTGTTTCGTGTGTGCCTGGGCCTGGAGATAGAGGCTGGACAGTTCCTATTCAGAGCCCACCTTAAGCGGAGCCTGGAGGGGACAGGCTGCTGAGGCTTCTACTGGTAGCACGGTGGGTGCTGGGAGCGTGTCCTCCCTCAGGTCCCAGCTGGTCCTGATGAGCTCCCAGAATGGGAGGGGAAGTCCACAAGCAGGTGGGACATGCTAATGCTGGACAGTTTCTATAGCTGACAGCTGAGGAAGCCTAACCACAGAGCATCCTTCTAAACCCCGACTGCTGTATGGATTTATTCCTGGGGATGTCAGGGTCCTGGAGTGTGAGAGCTAATCAGGACAGAGTTAGGTGTCTGACTAGTGAGGGGTTCAGGATGCTTCTGGGGCTATGAGTTTTCATTCCAAAGTCTGTTCCAGAGAGAGGAAAGTACTTAGTTGAGAGCAGCATTTTTACAGAGGGACTGAAACTATGAAAATCCAAACTCAGAGCCACTCAGAAACTAGGACGAGGGCTAAGGCTGCTTTCTCCCTGAATCATCTATGTAGAAGGAAAACCAACTCTGCCAAAGCTACGGGCAGATTTTTTAGAGTTTGGAAGCAGAAGCTGAGGCCTGGGAGAGGCTGAGCAGGTGCTCGGGGTGAAGGAGAAACCACGGTCCTGGAGCTTCTTGGCTGGAGGTTGGATGACAGGGATCAGGCCACAGTTTCAGGTCCTGGTCTTCTTTCTAATCAAGAAACCATACATAGCGTGTGTCTCTGCAGAATCAGATTTGGGTGATTTTGCTGGCCCCAGGCTTCAGGGAGAGAAGAGGGGTGGCTGCAGGGTCTCTCATAAACTGGCTTCTATGTGATGGGGTGAGGGAAGGGTGGGTAGGAGACAGCAGAGGCTCTCCCTGGCTGCGGAAGCAAGAGATTCCTTGTTCCTTTAATGTTCTAGGCTATTCTTTGAGTCTTCAGTTCTGATCTCACCCAGCCCTGTAGAGAGAGCCTGTCCCACCTCAAGAGGAAGAGATGGAGCCAGTGACTGCCCTCTTACCCTCTGCCTTCACCCTTTCCCTCCTCAGGCTCGTTGGGGCCTTTCATCAGAGCCATGGGTGGTGGCAGGCAGGGAGCCCTAGGTCCTTATCCTTGTGGCACAGAGTCCCGTGATATACAGTGCCAGATTTGGAAAGTAAAAATATAGGATGGTCGAATTCAGAATTTCAGATAAACAATACAATTTTAAGGATGTCGTAGGCAATATTTGGGACACACTATACTTAAAAATGGTTCATCGTTTATCTGAAATTCAAATTTAACTGGCCATCCTGTACTGTGTCTGACAACCCTACCCTATGACCACATCCCTCCTCTCCTGCTCAGTCCCAGGGGGCCAGAGGTTGGTCACCACGGATTTGACCTAACCTGTTTTTTGAAATGCAATATTGAGAAGGGGACACTGTGACTTGAAGATACATGAATATACTTTATTTTTTAAGCGACAACAAAAGCACCTTTTGAAGCCATTTGAGCCTCATCCAACCCCTGCCATATGCATTTAGTTATATATTAAAAGAAGATAGTTATCTATAAACATACGAACAGAATCTTGTTGAGTCAAGATGCATGTCTATAAACTTCTGTAAATAGCCGCATGGCAATGCTGAGAGTCCCCTCGGTCCCCCAACCTCAGGCCTATTTTACAGAACTGGTCAAGGCTGCTCCTTCTCTTTTCTGTTGTGTGACGTCTTTGTCCCCAGCTCCACACCCGCCCTTCCCCAGTGGGAATCCCATAATGGGAGCTGTCAGGGGATGGGAACGGGTTTCCAGCCCTGGTGCTGGCCCTGTTGGAGAAGATGCTGGAGGACACCATGGCCCCGAAGGCCCCCCGTCTGCGGTGCATCTATGGGCAGGGCCAAGGCACGCCGTGTCCCACCTGCTGTCTGGTGTCCACTGTTTCTGTGTTCTGTGTCCGTGTGTGGCGTGGCTCCTTTCCTCCCGCTGTCTAAATAACTGAAAAGCCATAAAGGGGGCCTTCTGCTGGAGACTGCCCTCCGCCCTCCCAGGAGCCCCCATGTCCCTCCGACTGGCTCCCCACAGAACACTTGTGAAGGGCTCACTTGTTGTCCTCCCCTCCTGCTTCCTCAGCCCCGTGTCATGAGGATGGACGGTGGCCAGGGCTTCTGGTGGGGCCTTGGGAGGTGTCCCTGGCTGGCTGTGGTCTGATGGCTCCACTCCATCTCCACCCTGATGGTGCATGGTGGGACGCCACAGTTCTGCTACTTTCCTGGGGGCCCTGCAGAGTCAACCCAGAGTTTCAGGAGCCGCCAGTCAGCAGCTCAGTCTGTGGTCGGGTTTCCATTTACGACCTGGGTCCTCAACCAGCCTGGCCTACTTGCCACTGAGGTGTCAGGGTCCATAGAGGGTAATGGAGGAGGAACTCGTGGGGGGAAACCTAGGGCTGGTAGTGGGTTAGGCTTTATCCCCATCTTCCTTCTGCAGTCTGAGAGAGAGCACCCCAATAGTGTGGTGGCCCTAGGGCTGCCAGGCTCCTCCAGAAGTGGTGGGTAGGTGCCGTGGTTATGGATAGCTTAGAGGACCCTTGGCAGAACAGGTGTGTTCTGGGCTCTGGCCTTCACGCTGGCTCCCCCAGTCCCCGCCAGGCACAGCAAGCAGTAGGGACCCAAAGCCTTCCAAGGTCCCTGGTTGAAGTGCAGTCCCCAGCCTGCAGCCCCAGGCCCCCAGAGCACAGGAGGGCGGTGATGCATGCGAGTAACCCAGGAAGCCTCGGGCTGAGAAGAGCTTGAGGAGAATCAGGCGGGTTGTGTTAGACAAGGCCAGAGGTGGCAGAGTGAGCCTTGCCAGTTACAAACCACAGCACCCGGGCACACAAAAATCCCAGGGCCAGCTCTCTTGGTCCCTCCCATTTTCCACAGACACGGAAATTGAGGCAAGATTGGAGGGAGGGTCTGTGGTGAGGGGGCAGCCTCCGTGAGGGGGGCAAGGGAGCTTCCGCTGTGCCTCCCTTAGCAACCCAGATTTTAGGGGGTCCTCTTTAGAGAAGCATGACCAGTATGCCCTGACCCTGCTCATCTAAGGACTTGATTGGTTGCTTTCTAAAAACCCTGGGGCCTGAAAAGTTGAAAACTAGGCCCAGTTCACCCTGGACCATCTTGCCCCACCAGGAGCCCTCCTGTCCACACACGTGCAGCCCTCGCCACCCGCCCCCGCTTGGCAATGCCCTCCACCCCCTCATGTGGACTCTGTTGTTCTTGTCTGATCTCTTGTCAAATTGTTATTTTGTAATGAGCTGCGTCTCCTTATTAAAGAAATGAGTTGAAAGAAACCCGGGGGTGGGGGGTGTCTGTAGTTGTTTCTACCGGCCATGGTGAGGGTGGGGGAGGCAGGAGCTGCCCCTGTGCATGTCAGCACTGTGCATGAGGGTGACCAGCTGCGTCTGAGGCTCTGGCCTCTAGTCTAGTGACTCCCTTCCGGAAGCCACCCAAGGGGCCAAGTCCCATTCCTTTCTTGCGAGTGGGGGAAGACCAGATGGGCACTGTTGGTTGGTGAAGCCCGATGCCCTCCTGGGGAAGGCTGTGGTGCTGGGATCCTCCCCTGGGAGACTGCAGGGTGCCCACATCCTGGAATTCCCCTCCAGTAGAGCCGTGCTTAGGAAGAGCCAGCCTATGTCTGACAAGGAGGCTGGCCCTGAAGTGGGAGTGTGAAAAGAGAATTTCTACAGATTCTTGAATTACTCCACTACAAAGAAAGAACTCCAGAAGTCTTTGACTCTAATGAGGCAAAAATGTTAGGAACTTCATTGGGGCTTCAGAGTTCTTAGAAAAGAACCCGGTGCAGTGGCGCACTGCTGTCATCCCAGTGGCTCAGAAGGCTGAGGCAGGAGGATCGTGAGTTCAAAGCCAGCCTCAGCAACTTAGTTAGGTCCCAAGCAACTAGTGAGACCCTCTCTCTAGATAATAGATAAAATATAAAAAAGGGCCAGGGACGTGGTAGCAAAAAAAAAAAAGTTTTTAGGAAAGTGTGGGAGCAGTATTGCCCCTAGGACCAGGAAGGGGCTGGACTCCTATTTCAAGCCCTACCCCACCTGTCTCTTCACTTTGAAGACAGGCCAGCCTATTTCGTTAGTTTATGCCATGTGGCACTTGTCCTCTAGGGTTGCCACCTGCTCAAAAGTCAGGTCCAAATGCATGAGGGGCAGCAAAGTCAAGGCAGGGATGGGGCCAACTCAGTGACGAGCAAGGGCCAGGACCCTGGCATGTCTACCCCATCTTGCTGCCTCAGTCCCTGAGGTGGGATGGGCTGGGTGGCTCAGGTGTGTGAGGGGCACTCTCAGCCCAGGACTGGGGCTCCTCGCTGGACCATTTCCTGGCCGGGAGTGTGACTCCTTGCTCTCCTGCAGGGAAGCCACATACTGCAGCCCTCCTCGTGCAGCACTGGCCTCATGACTGTGAGGAGACTGTCTGTGCAGACCTCAATGCCCACTGGGGGACACAGAGAGGAAGATGACATTTGTGGTCTGAGAGCATCAGACATGCTGCTTTGCCTGTTTCGGGCCTCAGGACAGATCTGAACTCTTCAACCATGACATCATGTGTGTTTTCTGCTGCTGCTTGGGCTACAAACAGCTGGGTGACAGAAGGGGAAAAGAATCTTCCCTCCTTGACCTCCCTTTTAGTCAGTGAGCAGGGATTTCCGCTTGGCAGAAAACACTGGGCTTAGCAGAGCCAGAACAGGGTTTGCTGGATGGAGAAACCAGACCCGAACCTTGGCTGCCCAAGGGCAGTCCTGGCTGGCCACCCATCCACAAACCCTGCCAGCGCCTGTGCGGCTCCTCCCTGGGCTGGGCTCCTTCATTTGGAGTTTGAGTTTAACCTCCAGTAACCCCCAAGTTAACTGCATTTGTAGTTTGGATCTAGGGAGAGGTTTGGGATCTCCTGAATCAAATGACCCAGGAGAAAACCCGTATGTGTACAGCAGAGGACTAGGTGGTGCCCAGAGACTTGCATGAGCCCAAACAAGGCCCCTCTTCTCTGGACACAGCCTGCCCAAGTATGAGAGGTCAGTGTGCATGAGATGGGCTCAGCACCCTCGTCATGGATGCGTTTTGCCTTTGAGGAAATAACCCTGCTCTTGGTCACTTGAAACCCTGATGTCTTCTTACGGTTCTGCTGAACCTTCGATCTCGGCTTTTCCTGGGCCTGACACACTAAGGAAATACATTGGTGCTCTCAGAGACCTGTCCTTAGGGCTGGCCACTCACTTGCGGCTGTCCTGAGAAAAGACCTTCAAGTGGAGGGAGGTGTAGGAAGCATGGGGAGGGGCGTTGACAGATGTGACATTCTATCAGTCTCACTGCACAAAGTTAAAACACAGTTTTATTTACTCATTTATAAATACTGTTGTGTTTACAGGCATCATATAGATGTGAATATTATTACCAAACTTTCAAACACAGAATACTTAATGCTATATAATAACAACCAGTAAAACAAAATCATCCATATCTCAGGGTTGAAAGGCCACTCAAAATTGCATAAAAATACATTCAGTTCACAAAGCAAATCCGGCTTCCCCTCCCGAAATGGCCCCCTCCCCAGGTGTATTTACAACAGACTGAAGTTAATCCATACACCTCAGCTGAAGAACAGTTTACATCTGGTGTGGAAGTAAGGTGCGGAAGGAAGGGTGGAAAGAGTAAAGACACACGGTGCTGTCACTGAGGTGGGACCAGTGTGGAGACACCAGGGTGGTTCTTATGAGCTCTTTTCACCCCTGTCTGGGGCAGAGGCAAGAAAAGAGGGAGAAAACCATAAAGTCAAAGCCTGAGTCTGAACCACTCAATTGAGAAGAGGCCACATCTCTCCTAGGAGAGGGAGGCAAGGTGAAGCACACTCCTTCCCTCCTTGGGGAAGTCTGGCCTCTTTCAGGAACCAGCTGGGTGGTGTCCAACCTTTCGGGAGTTCAAGGGATGCTGGCTAGAAAAGGGTGTGCTTTGGATGGCTGTGTCTCCCTGAACCCTCCCGAGCCCCTGCAGCTTGCCGCCCAGTGTCCTTTTCCCCCCAATTTCTCTTCACCTGGCCCTCTGCACCAGAGGACAAGCTGAAGTCGGCTGGTCTTGGGGGAGGGACAGCAAGAGCAGTTGTACTTTGGGGGAGTCGAGCTCGTGCTGACCCTCACAAGTCCATTGTTCAGGATTTGTGCTCTGTCCTGGGACCACACCAGAGGCTCTCACCAGGTTCCCCAGTTACATGCCTTCCCCGAATCCACTATCCTGCAGGCAGAAGTGGGCTGAGCTGCCGCTGCCAGATGCACTGCCAGGCCCGTCCAGGTGTGCAGAGAAGACACTTTTGCCTTAAGCTGGAACCAGTCAGCTCTCTCAGGACAAAGACGGGATAAACCAGACATGCTACCTGGTCTCCTTGGCCAGGCTAGGGAGGAACTCTAAGGGTGATGAGGGGCCATTAGCACAGTCGGCAAGCTTTGAAATGGGAAGGGGGGTGGCAGAGGTGGCTGTTGGATGTGAAACTCCAGGAATCCTGGCTGATTAGGGAACACCTCTTTCTCTTAAGCACCATCAGGTCCACGTGAGAAAAGCAAAGAAAAAGAACATGGAGGAAGATGAAAGGGAGAGGAAGGGTGAAGTATATTTACTGGAAGGACATAAGAGCATCCTGATGTCAACTTAAAGGCCACCCACATAAAATCTTATTGGCAGCATTAGGGGAAATTTTGGAGGAGAAATAACAAAATATCACTCTGGCAGATTCACAGTCCAAAATGATAAACAGATGAGAGAAAAGTCCTTTGAGGGACTGGAAGGGGGGGAAAGGCAAAAAATATGAACTGATAGAATAATACACTTGAATAAAATTGGTTTCTGAGTTCTCATTTCTAATCAAGAACATGTGAAACCTCATTTTGGAAGCTCCGAGCTAGCATGTACATGTCTATGCACTCAGACTAGAAGAGGACCCTCAAATTGTCAAACCTTTGTAAGGAAGGCCAGACAGAACACGCATCAGTGCTGTGGTCTTTAGACACCCCTGCTTCTTATCAACTGTTCTTCCCCAGGAATTCTGCAGGCTTCCAGAGATTGGGTTGCAAGCCATTCCTCAGTTCAACTCTGACCCTCGACGTCCACTCTTAAGAAGTGAGCGCATCTTCTTTCACTGTGCTGCAGCTGGCTGACAGGTCAAGAGTCTCTGCTGTTTTTTCTCAGATTTCAAAAAACACCTCATTCCTTAGTAGCTGTGGCAATGACTTCCTGGGCTGTAGTGAAGTTGATCTATTTTTCCAATCTAATCAGAACACAGCGATCAATACCTGTCCCTGATAGGGTCTCCTCCTCAGCAGTGTCAATACCCATTAGGGAAGCTGATTAGAATCTCAGCTCAGCTGGAGGCTGAGGATAAAGTCACCAGCTCACAGCTCATTTCCACGCTGAAGCTTTGCTCCCTCCTTCCTTCCCTCCAGTGCTTGCAACCTCTACCCTGCTCCACGTTCAAAGCCCTGTCTGTCTCTTTTCCAATGCTGCTTGGGGGCCACCTCCCCACCCAGGGTCTTTGCCCTTTCACTGGGCTCACACTAGACCCACAGGAGTCTTGCAAGAGCTGAGTGCTGCTCTGTGCAACATGGCAGTGTGGTTTGTAAACGCTTCTGACTTTGCTGGTCTCGTCTGCAGACCTGCTATAAAGGAAAGCCTGCCTTGAACAGAACCAGAACTTCCTAATTCTGAGAGACCAGAATCCAGAGGAGCTCAAAGGAACTAATGGTTGAGTTTCTTTCTTTCTTTCTTTTTTTTTACTGAGGAAAATTCCTTTGCTGTTGCAAGACAGAGTTCAAGACCAGGGACCAGCTAGTGCTAAGTAGCAATGCAATCAATTTGTCTGGGGCGAAGAAGCAGAGTAGGCCATGTCTGAGGAAGCTGAGGAAAGGTGGTTGAGGACCTGTGAAGCGGCAGCTCTATTTCCTATTAAAACAATTTGTCTGAAGGCTGCCTACAACAAATTACTTTCTATCCATTTCCCTATGAGCTCCAATTTCCACCTCTGCAGGTTTTAATATTCTTACCAAAACATTAGGAGGGAAAGCAATTGCAACACCACTCAATTATCCTTAATACCAAACTCGCTTTCCAGCAAGGGTGAGAAGTCAGTCTTGACGTGCTGATGTTAAACAGTCTGAATTGGAAGAAAACAAGAATTTTTGCTCTTGAATTTTTGAAGTTGAAAGAAGGAATTTTTGAAGCAGAAATTCCAAGTATAAGAAATGTTCTGTTCTTCCTAAGAATGAATAAACCACAGAATTTTAAGCCAAGAGAATTTA